GGGATTTCTTTTAATAAGTAATATTTTTTACAACTGACCCAAAATGGACAAGAAGCACAACATTTGGTACAGAACTAAAGACGTTAGAAAAAATACAATCATATGATAATTGCCAGAGTTAGTCGAAGGTTTTGTATATTGAAAGTGTTTTGGTTTAGTGGTGATTTGTGAAAAGTGTTAGTGGTGATTTAAAGAAAACTAGCTGTAAGTGGAATTCTGTCTTAAGGCAATTAGGGCATCGTGCCTTAAGGCAAATTGCTGGAACTTCCCGTACCAAAAATTATTATTTTTTTTAAAAACGATTAACATTTTTGAAAAAAATTTACTTCGAAGAAATAAGATTTTTGAGAAACTATAAATTGGACAAAAAATTACTTTTTTTTGAAAAAAAATTGAAAAAATGACATATTTTGGAAGATCTGAACTTGTTTTTCAAAGCAATCGTACTGCTTTAACTGCATAGAGACAAAATATAAAGCGCGTAAGCGCGGCGTCGCTGTCTAACGGGTAAACATTGGTACGGAACCCATAGGAAAATAAACAAAATTTATACTTATTGTTAAAATCTCTATAAAATATCTGAAAATTTGATGTGCATATGTCTAATGATCATTTTTGACCGCCAAATGGCATTTTTTTTTACTTTTTTCGTTATATCTCCAAAACCGCTGGACCTGCCTTTATGAAAATTTGATCAATTCTTTATCTTGTCAATACAAGTAAAATGTTTTTTGAATTATTAAAATCGGACGCTCCGTTCTCTTAAAAACTGAGTTACCGTTTTCGGCACTTTTTGCGCCGTATCTCCGGAACGGCTAGACCTGCCTTCGCCAAAAACTAATCAGCACGTCTCTTTATCAATACGAATCGAATGTTTTTTAAATTATTCAAATCGGTTGATCCGTGTTCCCGAAATCGTCGACGAAAATTTGTATCCGCACATACATACACACACACACGCACACACACACACACACACACACATACATCCATTTTTTCTAAGGTATGCCAAAATGTTCAGAAACCTCTGAAACGTAAAGATATATAAAAATTTTCATTTTCGATTTTTTTGCGATTACTATAACTTACCCTACGGGAAGTTAACAATGAGTGAAAAGAAGAGAGATTACGTCAGCGGAGCTATGAAACGAAAAATTGAACAGAAAAAAGATGAAGTCATAAAAAAAGTGCCAAAAATTTCTTAAATCGAAAAATATACACTTTTTTGGCAATAGCATACAACGCTGGTCAATGCTAAATCAAGATTCTTCCGAGGAATATTTAGTATTTTTAAAAACAAGAGGCGGAAGATAACAAAGCGATTTTTCGATGAGTTATCACAAGACGAGAGAATTTTACACCCTGAATCATATTTTAAAGTAAACGTGTACTATTGCTGTTTAGATATTTTAATTTCTCAAACAAAACAAAGGTTCAGAATATTGCAATCGGAAAAACTCATGCCTTCTTCAAATGAAGAAATAATAATTGCTTCCAAAAAACTGACGTCAAAATACTGCAAATATCTATCAGGTAATCTTTGCGATCAATTGATAGCTCTAAAAACATGCTTAAACTCAGAAATCGAAAATATTCATGCCATTAAGGAACTCTCTAAATTATTATTAATAAAATTTAATAGTATTGCATCCAGTTTTCCGGATGTAATAACAGCTTGCATTTTATTCGTGACCCTTCAAGTTACAACCGAAACTGCTGAAAGGAGTTTTTCAAAATTAAAATTAATCAAAAATTACCTCAGAACATCAATAAAACAGGAACGTTTATCAGACCTGTCTCTATGGTCTATAGAAGCGCGGGGCTTCAACTAACACAGGAATGTGGCAACGAAATATGGCCCGAGAGAGCGATCTATATACTCTTCTTTTATCTATGCCTCGACCTCTACCGACAAACTGTTTGAGGTCCGATGAGAACCTCGCGAAGCCCTTAGTCATGGCCGGTAATCTCGGAACAAACATCTGTAATCTCGTTTTTAGTTCCCTCTCCCTCGTTTGGAGCGCTGGTAGCGCTACAAAATGGGCTAAAGAAAATATTCTAGAATCTAATATGGCGGAATAATATTTTAGTGTCAAAGTATCAAATGTTTGTTAAAAGTTTATAACAAATATCATGTCAAAGTGCGGTGTACAATAATGCGGAACATCAACAAATATGCGAAAATGGTGTATTTCCTGCAGAAAATGACGTAATATGTAAAATGATTAGTAAAATAACTGGATCCCGGGCTGAGCACTGATGGTGAGAACTTTTTTTTTTTTTTTAATAATTTTTACAACTGTCCTGAAACGGACAACAAGTAAAATATTTGACATGAAACTGAAGGCGTTGGCAAAATACAAATCATCTGACCATTGCCAGTGATTTGTCGAATGGACTTATCTATTGTTGATTAGTGCAGAAGAAATTTTCTTTTTAATCGGGCCCTGGTAGAGTTGAGATGGTGAGAACTAGACGTGTATATAGTTGGCAGACTCACATCTGCAGTGTTGCCATGTCTACAGTTTTAACTGTAGATGTTCAGTTTTTTGATAATGATCTCAGTTTTGCAGTTTTGGCCTCGAAATCTACAGTTTTTTGCTGAAGATACGAGCACTATTTATTTTTTTATGTTGAACTCAATAGTTGTTCTACTAAGTCAATTTCTATAAAACTAATATTGTTAAACCAGAGATAATGTTTATCCATTATTTTATTAGATGTGCGCTTGCTGTCAATGCAACGTACAACGACGTAACTAGCGGGGCAATGAACCGTTTCCTTTCCCGTTTCTCTCTCGTTAACGAGACAACATAAACCATTTTGTCGAAACTGATTTTAAATTTAAAAACCAACTGCCAGTTAGGTTGTCCAACGAAATAAAAATTCTTTCATTTTAGTATTTTTTATGAACTTATCTTTTGTAGGTTGAGATTTATGTTAATAATTCTTTCCACGTATATAATTATTTATAGTAAAAAATATTTATTTATTTAACTATCAGCTAGCTTTATATTGATTCGAAATTACCTTCAATAATTATAACATGACATGATGAATATTACTTATATTGAAATTTAACAATTACAAAATTAATAAAATAAACAATATATCGATAAATATTTTGGAATGGTGTTTAGGATAACTATAATAAAACTGTTTGTTTAAGATATCAATTGAATATATCCTATACAATTTTTTTTAAAGAAAACCTTCAATGCTAAATTATGTAGATCGCCGGGATTACTTGGAAAATCTTATATCTGGCCCCATTGAGAATTACTAGTATTATAATCGCTTATTGTTAGGTAAAATATAATAAAACCTTTCAGAATGACTATAATAAAACTGTTTGAGATATCAATTGAATATTTCCTAAACACATTTTTTTAAGGAAAACCTTCAATGCTAAATTATGCAGATGGCCGGGCGTACGCTCATTGGAAAATCCTATAATCCCAAATGCGGATACACATTTGTCTTTTGTTAGCATTTTGGTAATTGTTAAATACATCATAAAATTTATCTTGCGTTTTTTTTTTGTAACAATATTTTCCTTCGTGGAATTATCAATTTTTGTTGTTATGATTACTTTTATAGATAAAGGGTTGAAAAGACTTCAGGAAATGATATAATTTTTGTAAATTTTTATGTACAAACAAATACTTGTCTTGGCCTTGTATATAAACCGCCCCTTAACCACTTAACGGTTGGGTTTTTTTTCGTGAAAAGTGATCTAAAAGAGCAGGTTTTTTTTATTGCGGATTTTAAAAGTTTAATTGATGTAATATGTGTTTCTGATAACATTTTTTTTATTTGATTTATTTTTGTTTAAAATTAAAAATATATATTATAATACTGATGACCGCTTTGATAGTTTTTTGTTATAAAATACAATGTACATACTTTTATATACTGAAATATATAGTCTTTGAATTGAATTGAATTGGACTACCTTTATTGTCTATGTATAAACTATTGTGTTATAATATGATAAATAATACGAAATTTTTATTTAATAACTTTTAAATTTTAATAATATCTATTTATCTAAAAATAATATAACAAATTTGTAAACAAATAAGAAAATTCAACAATATGTAATTATTAGAGCAAATATACGTGTAAAAACTCTAAAAGTTAAAAACAAAATAGATGGATTCTTGCCTAATTAGAGATAAAACACTCCAAAGTAATCTTCAATTGATTCCTATCAAAAATAACACAAACATATAACAATAACATGTCCCTTGATGGATATTCAGAAAGGCGGTTTTCACATGTTTATTTCTCATCTCAAAAGTCGTTAAAGATTGATTTATTATATATACAATTATTAATTGATCTGCACTTATCATATCTAAACTAAACATATCCCAACAACGGGCCATCGTAAGCCTTTTATCGCATAAAACATAAACATTAACTTTGGCGAACAGCGACAGTATAAGTTTGGAGATATATGAAGCAAAATCAGTTTGGAAGTGTTTAATGATTTGTCTTTTTTATATACATTCTGAAATTTATATATTGTATTTTTATATATATTACGCAGAGTGTTACTAGTGTTTCGGTATAAGTTAAATAAGTTGAATGTTGTTATAAGTTAAAAAGTTAAACTTTGTTATAAGTTGAATAAGTTTAATTTTGTTATAAGTTTAATAAGTTAATAGTGTAAGTTAAATAGTTAAGAAAATGCATAGTTCTAGTCGTGATAATGTGTCAGATGTTGACAAATCCCCCGCAAGGAAGAGGAAAGTAGTGAGATACGAGCAAAAATTTATTGACTCTTGGCTCACTGACAAAAACTTTAGTGGATGGCTTACAAAAAGTAAAAAAGGGAATACATATTTTCACTGCTCTGCATGACTGTGATCGTAAATGCGGAATTCAAGAATTAACGCGACACAAAAATTCATCAAAACATCTAGAAAACAGTAAAAAAATACAAAAGCAACCGAAGCTTACGTCTTTACGTCTTTGCATCATCATCAAAATCAATGGAACCAAAGCAAATGGCAAAAACCGGCGAAATTAAATTAGCATGTTTTATTGCAGAACACAATCTTGGATTTAATGTTGCCTCACATCTGACAAATTTAGTAAAATCGGTGTGTCCGGATTCAAAAATTGCAGAACATTTGTCTATGAGCCGAACAAAAGCAAGATCTGTCATAGTAAATGTGACAGAAAAAACCTCTGAAGAAAAATTAAGAGAAAATGAATTTGCATTGCTGGTTGATGAGAGCACTGATAAGTCGGCCATCAAGCATTTGGCTTTAATAACCAGGATAGTCAATGCAAATTATGAAGTAGAAGATAAATTTCTAACTTTGATTGCAATCACCGACGGATCAGCAAAAGCTTTGCATACAAAAATTGTTGAATATTTTGAGGAGAAAGAAATTCCATATAAAAAAAATTTATTAGGATTTGCGTCTGATGGTGCTAATTTCATGTTTGGGGCGAATAACTCATTGGTCACTTATTTGAAGAATGATATTCCAAATCTTTTCACAATGAAGTGTATATGCCATTCATTTGCGCTTTGTGCATCCCACGCATGTGAAAAATTATCGAGAGGTCTTGAAGATTTTTGCCGTGAAGTTTTCAACCATATTCAAAATTCTCCTAAACGTATTGGTGATTTTAAAACTTTTCAGGCATTTACAAATATTAAACCGCATAAAATATTACACCCTGCACAAACCACATGGTTATCGTTAAACGATGTTGTGAAGCGATTGTTGGAACAACTTCCAGCGATAAAATTATATTTTCAATCTGCTGTCTCTTTACGGATCGTCTTCTTTCTGCACAAAGTATATTGACAAAAGCCATGGAACCGACAACAGAATTATATTTGGAATTCCTGCGATTTTCGCTGCCAATATTCGTGAATTTGAATAAAGAAATGCAGGCAAAAAAGCCAAAATTGTACATTTTATGTGATCAGATATTTACAGCATATGCGACAATTTTAGAATGCTTTATTCAACCGAAATATTTGGAATGTTCAAAAGAAGAATTGAATATGGTAAAAAATATTACAAATGCCAAACAACAAAAAGTATTGAATGTGGATATAAACGATTTGCGAATTCATTTACCTTTATTAGAAATTTATGTTGGAGGAATGATTCCAAATATAATTCGGGTGAAAAGGGAGTCTGAAGGATTGGACAATGATCGATTGCTGAATTTTTACACAAAATGTAAGGAGTTTTATATTGAGGCAGCAATCCAAATAAAGCAGAGATTTCCTTTCCACGATAAAGAACGGCAAGCACTAAAATGTTTGCAGATATTAAATCCACAAGTGATTGTAAATACTGATTTGAGACAAAACTTTACATCAATTTCGGAAATGTTATATTATTTTCCAAATATTTGCCCAAATAATATAACAGAAGTAGATAGAGAATGGAGGACTCTTAGAAATACGAATTTTGATTTTGATGAGACTGAGACGCCCAGTAAGGACCAATTTTGGAGACATGTATCAAAATTAAAACAAGGCGATGGATCAGAGACGTTTCCATTATTATCAATTTTAACAAGAAAACTTCTGTGTTTGCCGCACAGTACCGCAACGGTGGAACGCTTGTTTTCAAGCATAAATATAATGAAAACAAAGCTAAGAAATAAGTTATCAACTACGACTCTTAAAGGCACTTTACACACAAAGTCAGAAATTGAAAATTGTTATGAATTTAGTGTGAAAAGCGATCACTTAAGTAAGTTTAATCAGAAGATGTATGAATTCCAAAATAAAGATGAAGCGGAACACCAAGAAGACATTGACATTGAAAATGAGATGTCGGAAAGTTAAAAATGAATCCTACAAGAATATTATTTTTCTAAAGTTTTACCATTTCTAATTTTATATCAATTAATATAACCTTATGACTCTTTATACTCTTATACATTCAATGTTATGAAAATGCATATTTATTTATATTATCATATATCTTTTTGACTGTTAATACTCTTATACAATTATGCTTATTTATATATGTTAAGAAAATGCATAATTATTTATTTTATATTATGTTAATATTTACTAAAACTATGCTAATAACATGATTCTGCTAGTTTTTAATTACATTCTCAAAAATATTATATTCATTACCATCATTTAATAAAAAAAATATAAAACTGTAGATCTACAGTTTTTCAATATGACATTTGCAGTTTTCTACAGTTTTTTTCTGGCGTATCTACAGTTTTTCTCTATGGCGGACCTGGCAACACTGCACATCTGGCAGGTTCAGTTTCGTGGGCGTGGCCTATCGGCGAAGGCGTGGCCACTATTTAAAACCTATTTTTTTTATGAAAATGATTAAAATATAATAATTTATTCAATTAAATTTCATTTATTTTGCATTATCTTTGTTTGACATAAAAATCTTTAACCTACAATCAAGTATTTTTACATATTATGTCATAGTACATTGATACCAACCGACATGATCTGCCGTGTCAAAATATGTTCGAAGTAGGGAATGCAATACCGGTATACCGGTATACCGAATTACCGGTAAACCGCCCGATTTTTCGGCGGTATTTTTACCGGTATTTACCCCAAAAATACCGGTGTTTTCGGTATTTTTACATAAGCGCTATTTGATACGTAATACACGAAAGTTTAAATTTCTCGGAACAAATTTATCTTTAAATTCTATAATCGCATAAACAGTATGTCCTCAAGTGATTCTATAGGATAAACAAATGTCAAATATTATCTTAACTCGTCATTAAACTGAATATTTATTGCTTTACTAAAGGCTTCATATCGTGTTACAATAAATAGAATTGAACTGATATATAATGATGTTCTTTTATCTTATATAAAAATGTAACGGTTTTGTAAGCGATATTTCCGCCAAAATATTTTATATCATACAGATTACCTCTGCGTAATCTTTATTTTTTTCTAACTTTATACGTAATAATTATGATAATTACTAAATATTTTTGCTTCTTATTACAATTATAAAAAATTATTTTTCAAAAACGTTTCGAAGTTTGAAAATACTATAGAACCATCACATTATTGTTTTAAATAACAATACTCAATCCGAACTTAAATTAATGTAGAAAAATTATTTTTGGAGATTGTGCTAATTTAACACATCGGATACAGACAATACAGTTTATTATAATAATGTAATATGATCTTTTGTGAGTTTTTGGTCTTTCTTACTCATAAGTTTGTTTTTGGTGAAAAGTACTCAATATACTCGATAGTGATAATGAATTAATTAAATTGGATATAATTTTGTTCAATTATTATTTAAAAAAATAAACTTATTGTTTTATTTTATTGTTTTTATTGTTTAGTTGAATATAGTTGTAGTTGTATATACATTTTTTTATATTTGTACTAGTAACTTTCAATTTTGTTTTTTTTGTTTAAGATAATAAAAATACCGGTAATTTACCGGTATTCCGGTTTTAAAATGAAAAATTACCGAAGTACCGGTTTTGAAATTTTCTATCGGTATTGCATTCCCTAGTTCGAAGATATGTTGAAATAGTGTCGAGGGTCTGCCAGTGTTTATTTGGCACATTTTTTACATTTATCTTATCAATAACTGAATTAGTGATGAATATTAATAAATAACTATGAATATAAAGTAATAATGTTGTGTTTTATATTGGGTCGACATAGTGAAAGTTGTGTTTTTTTTTTTGATAAATTAGTCGCGGGCCTGCCAGTGTTTATTTGGCAATTTTTTTACATTTATCTTATCAATAACTGAATTAGTAATGAATATTAATAAATAACTATGAATATAAAGTAATAATGTTGTGTTTTATATTAGTTCGACAACGTTTTCAGGCTACTTTTTACAATTGTTAACAATCGTTCTTGAGGTTATGTTAGTGGCGGGTCTGCCAGAATTTAGTTGGCAATTTTTTTACATTTATCTTATCAATAATTTTTCTTGACATTTATATTTATTGAGTTAATAAGGAAACATTAGTATCAAAAATGTAAAATTTGATGAATTATTTCTATCAAAAAGTTCCAGCAGCAGACTTAATTACCTCTCAAACACAGCGAAAGAATTTGTTGTAAATTTCTTGAAATCAACACGAAACACTATATTTTTTTTCACATTTATGTTTATTGAGGAAGGAAACATTAGTATCATAAATGTAAAATTTGATGGATTATTTCTATCAAAAAGTTCTAGCAGCAGACATAATAACCTCTCAAACACAGCGAAAGAATTTGTTGTTAATTCCTTGAAATCAACACGAAACACTATATTTTTGCTTCACATTTTTTATTATTCTCATCAATTTTATTTATTGAGTTGATAATTGAGCACTTGTGTAATATATGTAATTTTATTTGCATTATCAACAGCAGAATCGCCAGCACCGACTGTGGGATGTTGGTAACAATGGAAAATAATGCTGTCAGATAATTATGTTTAAGATATTTATGTCAAAAAAACTAGAAAAGCCTAAAACATTAAGATTTAATTAACTTTATAGCAATATTTTAACATTTTATACAGTAAAATTAAATTTTAAACAAATGACCTTGAGATTATTTTGCTGCTAGGTACTTGTGCTGCTAACTATACGCACGTAATTTAATCATTAAGTACTATGAAAATAAATAATATATATGTTCTAGTAAAATATGTCACTTCAACACGAAGTATTAGTAGTATCAAGAAGTATTGAAACTCAAACCGACATTAGCATACAGGAACAAATCTCACAATTTTCCTCCAACAAGAATCCGTCTTCTCTTGCGGCTACCGGAGAAGTACCTATAATGTCCTAATTACCAATGGCTTACTTTTGTTATGAACCTGATTGTAAATTTGCCCTACCTTTTTTGAATTGGTACAAATATTCAAATACATTAGTTGATTGCTCGACTCAGACCGACATTTCAGAAGCTCAATTTGTAAATATGTGCAATCAGAGTGTGCCTTTGTATAACGAAAATTTTTACCCTGATTCCATTACTAACTATAATAATAATATTATAAATATTCCTACTATGCCAAATAATTATGTAAATAATAATTTCCCAAATAATTTTTTGAATAATAATTCCCTAATAATTTAATAATTATTTTGAATAATTATTCAAATAATAATTTGAATGCTGACATATCAACATGCTATGTAAATTCGAATAATCCATGGCTTCCATATATTGGAAATAGTCATACGACTGTGTTTAATGCTATTTTTTCTCTATATAATGGATTTTATTACAAATCTCGAGTTACAACACAAGTAGTTCCTGTGTGTCCTGCAAATACCATATTATACCCCTACCCTCACCATTTCACAAATCTTTCTCCTTTCAATCATTTTATATCTGACCAATCTAATTACAACGTATATGATGTGCCTGAACAAGTAATGGACCAACATTTTAATAATGAGAACAATAATGGTGATTATCAACTAAACAAAGAAAATATTAAACAGAAAAGTAATGCTGCCAGCCCCAATTTGGCTTCAATGACAAATTCAATTGAAGGTAAATTTGTTACATGTTAATAACTTTTAAACACAAATTACTCGTCAAATGATATTAATTAGACTACAGCATTTTAGACAAGTTTTAGACCAGTAATATTCCATAATTAAGAAAACCTTATTAAATTATATAATGATAATGAATAATATAAATAAATATTATAAAATTCACACTTATATAATTGTACTCTTTGTGATTTTCAGATCAAAAGAATGAAGTGAACGATTTTACAATAAAGTTACAAAATAATAAAATAGAACGTTTGAAACGTAGAATGTTGAAAATAGAATTTTGCAAATATTGTCGTAG